TGATTTACACAGAAAAGAAATTCAAGTAATTTGTAATCTCTACCAAGAACAAAACAACTTATATGCAAATCGAGAGCAGGTTTAGTGAATACATAAAAGTAAAAAGAATAAAACAAGGATGTTTATTTTTTTTCCTATTACCAAGTTTATTTAACCTGTACAATAAGATGACCCTAAGAGGATTAAAAGATCTATCAATGTTGCTGGCAGATTCAGATGGAAAACCTGAAAGAACTCTTAGACATAGTAGTAGAGGAAAGCAGGAAGAAAGGACTATTAACTATAAGATGATAGAATGCCTGGTCATCAGCAAAAGAGACAATCCAAATTGCAAGCTACATATTGAGGACATCAAAACCAAATGGTTGCAAAATTTAACTATCTGGTAGTATAGTAACAGATGACAAAAAATGTGACAAATCAAAGGGCATAAGAATAACACAAGATGCCTTTCAGAAACCAAGCAAAGTATTAAGGAATCAGAAAATGTCTTTAGAAGCAAAGAGTGCTAGACAGGTAAAATATCTAATCTCCTATATGGTAAACAATGTTGGAAAATCACTTCACTATGAAGAAACTATGGTTTTTACCAGTAGCATATAAGAAAGATGGAAGTTTTAAAGAAAATAGGAATAACAAACAAATTGTTGACACACATCATGAGGAAAGAAAGTTTGGAGAATTTAGCACTCACAGGATATATTGAAGGTAGGAGAAAGAAGGGAACACAGGTTAACCTACTTGATGAGTGAGTAAATGGATTACAGAACAGGAACCACTTAAGTAAAAGTTACACAGAACATCAGGAAGTTGTGGAGAACCATGATTGCCCAAATCCTGAAAGATTGCATGGAAACCTGATGACAAATTAAAGCAAACAACAGTTCAGTAAAGATAGTTCATTATAAACAGTTACATTAAAAACATTGAGAAAAATAAAGAAACTTTGTAGTCTTACTCAGTAACAATTTTAACACCCCATTAATTCCTCCAGACCCAATGTCTGAAGATTGGAATCAGGCAACAACAACTATCCCACAAGAAAATAACTGTGCAACATAAAAAAGAGTTCTTATATTGATAGACACTGTCACACCATTAAATAACAGAAGTGAACAATATACTATGTCATCCGTCAAATCTTTGCTGATGCTTCCCACATCATATTAAAGCTTGATGATACTGGCAGTAATTTAAAACAAAATTTATATATATATATATATATATATATATATATATATATATATATATATATATATATATATATAGAGAGAGAGAGAGAGAGAGAGAGAAATCAAAATTACCTCCCGAGTATAGACTATTTCAACTATTGTCAATACGTTAGCCTTATTCAATACAAATTTGAGTCAAATAAGGTTAACATATTGACATTAGCTGAAATAGTCTATACTCAGGAGGTAATTTTGGATTTTCTATTATGTAATTGTTCTGTTATAATAAATACACTGAGCTCTTTTTGTGGATCAGTCTTAATATTTTATATTATTAGGATCCACTTGGATTATATACCAATGGATTTATTACCTGTACTATATATTAGATAGTGTATATTTTAGCAGCATGTTTTCTTTAAGATATTTCTCAATTAATAATTTTGTCTACTTATACTTAATAGTTTTGTCTACTTATTTTCAATAGTATCCTCTCATATTCATGAACAACCTTATTCTTATTAAAGGAAGAGAGAAAATTACCATGTTGATACATAGTAATTAACAGTTTTGCAATTACAGTCAGCTAATTAAATATCAACATTTTTTGATAGCACAGGTAAACATGTAAATCAGTAATAATGGGGTTAATTTTTATACATCCATTATATCAGTACAGTCAAAAATAATTCTATATATGATAAAAATATTGTTTTATGGTATGCTATATTTATGGGTAAAAGTGATCAATATCAGAAAGAGTGTACATAACTAGAAGTGGACATGGATACTGAGATCAATACCAAGTAGTAACAGTCTGTTTCATGTTTGAACGCAATCTTCAGGCAATGTATTTTGGCTTGACTGTTATATCACACAGAGTGTTGCTACTTGGTGTTGACTTCAATGTCCACTTTTACATATGCTTTATCTTTGATATTGAGCACTTTTAGCCTTGAATATCATACCTTAAAACTATTTTTATCATATAAATACATTATGTCTAACATTATTATAGTTGAAATAATATAAATGTCAGATTTAATTATGTCCATTAATATATTAATTATATATATATATATATATATATATATATATATATTTATTAGTACTGTGCAAATATAAAAAAATATTAATTTTTATTTTTTCCAGATAATCAACAAATCTTGATTAAACTATATATTCATTAGGAAAAACCTTTATTAAATAAATTACAACCACTTTCAGAAAGTTTTATGAAGTGAACCCCTACATTTCATATTTGGTGGCTTCTTTTTGAGGTCACAATATCAACCAGTCTTTTTCTGTGAATTTTAAGAAGTTTCTGGCAGTATTGAGCATCAATTTTTGACCATTCTTCTTGTCAAAACTCCCACAATATTATCCAGGTGTCTTGCATGTATAGCCTTCTTGAACCACTGATTTTCAATTGGGTTTAGATCAGTAGTTTGACTGGACCATTCCAAGATTTCAAATTTCTTTTTACAAACCCATGTTTTTGTGGATTTGCTTTGAAGCCAACTTTCAAAATGAGTACAAGACACTTTTGTTAAAATTGGTTGGTATTTTGCAGAGTCCATTGTGCCATGAATACATATTATGCCTGTTCCAGCTGGAGCAAAGCACTCCCAAACTGTAATGTTGCTGCCACCATGTTTAACTGTTGGCACCAATTTTTTCTCTTCAAAAGTTGTATAAAGAGCTTTGCCAGTCATGCTGCCTATTGTTTCTCGCAAAAAGCTTTAGTTTTGTCTCATCTGACCATAAAACCTTTTACCAAAATGGTTCTACTTTATTAATATGAGCTTTGGCATAGATGAGCCAAGCTTGTTTAATTTTTAAATCAGACATATTGACCAGCTAAGAGATGAAAGAAATGGTGAAAAGTGTCAACAAATATTCCTGTTGCTGTGTCGCAAGATCCTTGCTATTGCACAATATGTGGACTTGTATGCAAGTCACTAGTGGGGCTTAAGTGTTACATACAACACAAAAATGAAAAAACTGAATAAGGTTGTCAGATCCTCATACATCAAAATTGAGTCCATTATATATATATATATATATATATATATATATATATGTGTGTGTGTGAAATGAGAACGAATAGAATCCAGTTTCGTTGTTCATAACATTCAATTTAAAAAATGGCTCAATACAATCAATTATGACCATTCTTCTTGGCAAAACTCCAATATTACCCAAGTGTCTTGCATGTATGGCCTTCTTGAACCACTGATTTTCAATTGGGTTTAGATCAGTAGTTTGACTGGACCATTCCAAGATTTGAAATTTCTTTTTATGAACCCATTTTTTTGTGGATTTGCTTGGATGCTTTGGCTCATTGTCTTGTTCAAAGATCCAGCCCCAACCTATTCTTTATTTTTAGGATATTGCATAAAACATGTAAAAAAAAAAAAAAAAAAAAAAAAAAAAAAAAAAATGCTACACAAATGCAATCCTGTTTTGATGCGTACACATTTCTTTTTGAATTTGTAGGTATGATGATTTGGATCATGATTCCAATGTAATAAATTATAACCATGGAATATTAGTGTTTGAGTCTTGCCTTTTTTATATATATATATATATATATATATATATATATATATATATATATATATATATATATATATATATATATATATATATATATGAATTTTATAAAGTCAACAGGCCACCTGACAGTGTTTCATGCTATATAAGCATGAAACAGGCCACCTAACGATTTGATATTTTATGTTCACTTTATATTTACACACGCTCTATCTCTGAATTGAGCACTTTATCCCATAAATATAGCACACCTTAAGACTATATTTTATATATATATATATATATATATATATATATATATATATATATATAGAGAGAGAGCGCGCCTAGTCTGGTACAAGACAACAAATGTGGGGAAATTAGTGAGGATCAAACTCACAATAATAGTAATGACACTGTGAGGTTAGTTTATTAAACATTACATTTAAATGTTAAGGCATCTATGTGTGTGTATATAAACACAGTAAATGATGGTTAGACTTGTCTCAAAGAGAAATTTGTAAGTGTTTAAGCATACTGAGACCGAGTACAAAAGAATACCTCAAATTTTGTTTTTCTTTTACACTGAGAATTACTCTTTAGAAGGCCCAGGGGACACTCAAGGTAAAGGGTTACATTCGGTGGTCATTTGTGTGTATAGGTGAAGGAGATAACAATTAAGCCAAGCCTTGAATAGGTTAAGATTGTGGTGATCGGGAAACATCCTATTGGGAGTTGATTCCACAGGGCAGTGGATCGTGGAAAGAAGCTGTTTGAGTAGAACTTACTTCTCACCGATGGAATATGGTGGGAATGTGAGTGGTTTGCTACTATGTAAGTGGCATTGTGTGTTCTTGCCATGAACGTTTGCCTTGGCAGGACCAGGGAATGCAGTTCGTTCGAGCACTTTTCATGGAAGTAGCTGTAGAGCAGCGAGAGGTTTGCCACATCCTGCCTTTGGGAGAGAGGTTGAAGAGTGGAGAATAATTAGTCACCCACAAGAGCTCTGAGATACTTTTGAACTCTATCAAACCTGGAGAGTGAGGTCTTGGACAACTGTACTCCATTTTATACACACATCATGACCTGTAATATAATCTATACACATTTTAAATTTAAGAAAAAAAAAAATATTTAACATATGTTCCTCAAAAATAAAAAAATAAGTTTTTAAATTCCAAAACAAATTTTAAAAAAATTTTTTCTGAAATAAATTAAAAAAAAAAAAAAAATTAATTTAAAAAAAATTAAAATCCCATATCAAAAAATTGAAATAAATACAATAGTACATACGGCTTGAAAAGATGAGATACAATACTGAAGGTTCAAACTGACAATATGAGGACACGAGCCAGCCAACATAGAAAGTTGTTCGCTATTAATTTTAATATTTTCCAGCAGATTTAAATGTCGCAAGTTGACAGCCTCCTCCCACTTTATCATGTCCATCGGCACCTCAATATTTGACCGAGAGAGATCCAAGTTCTCAAGGTCAGACATATTCTTGAAGATATTTGCAAAGTCTTGTTTTGTGGTCAGATTAGCCATTGGCTTCAGCAAAGTCTTCAGATGGAGATCCACCTTGCAAAGTTCCAGCAGTGTCCCAAAGAAGAAGATACGAGCAGCTGGGTCTGCGGCATCATTGATTGCCAGTTCTTTTATCCTCTGGAAATTATCCAGGTTGAGAATAAGCGGCCGCAGCATGTCTTTTGGCAGACCCCTGTGCGGAGTGCCAAGTACATGCAGACTCTCTAAATTGCCACAGTAATGAAACAATGAAGTATTCTGAACAAAATTTACAGATACGGACAGATCAAATTTACGGGCTTCCTGTTTGAAATGAAGGCACAGTTTTTTAAGGTACCATAATGTTTTCTGAGCAGCAGGATTTTGCATCACCTGCTCTGTAATGTCAGTGATGCTAGCAATGGAACAGGAAAATGCTCTGATGCTTTGGTTCTGTGCAAGAATCTTGACAAGCTGTTGTGATCTGAGTTTACACTCAATCAAATGGAGTTCAGTGAGCTTACAACATTTAAGGACCATGTCTGTCACGACATGCCCGGGCAACCAGTAACAATGATTTAAGTCCAGTTTCACAATGTGTCGATAAGAGTTGTTGATAAACTCCTTGAACATTTCCTTGGACATTTCATGGAAATTTCCCATCTTCACAACCCTGTAAAAAAGAAGAAAAAGAAAATGAATGATTATAGGATTTATAGAAAATGAATGATTATAGGATTTATAGAAAATGAATGATTATAGGATTTATAGAAAATGAATGATTATAGGATTTATAGAAATTAGAACAAGATGTGAAAATTCCATGGTGTTTTTTTCTAAGTTTGGGAAGAAAACACTAAAGTTCATATTTAATAATATGTAGGAGAAGAATACTGTTTTAAATGGAATTTAAATGTTTTTAATGGAATTTTTATGCCAAAAGTGGAGAGAGATAAAATTTGGTAAACGTAATTTTCAAAAGCCTTATGAGTGCATTCTTTAGCTTAAGTAATCTATCCTCTATAATTAACTAACATTCTGAAATGCTTTGGTTTAATAAATAAAAATTTAAAAAAGCAATAAATGTCTGTGATTGGCAAAATACTGGTTGTGGCAAGTATATATGTAAACCTAGCAAACATTGAACTTTATTGTTATTGGATACACCAAACAGTTTTGTTTATTTCAATAAAAATCATTAATAGATCTGGTGGTACTTGGAGTTACTTTTACAATCTAAAATCATTTTTTTTTTTTTTGTGAGTGCCCTTTGACATGAGTAAACTTATATAGAATAGCTTATCAGGTCACTTGGTACATCACTGAAAAACATGTCAAAAGAAACTTTCATTTACTCTAATGATTACATATCTAATGACAGCAAATTCTTTCTGGCTTGGAAAGAAACTTGATAATACACAGTGTCATCTGCATATCTAATGTTAAGATTGTGTCTGCCAACAACAAATCCTGGTAGGACTTCTAATTCTCTCAGGATTTTTTCCCTGTAAAGAGTTGAATAAGTCTGGTGAGAATACTTATCATTGCCTTACACCTCTTTCTATTTTTATATATTTACTATTTTCTACCCTCTTACAGGTGGCTTGCTCCCAGTATAATTTCTAGATTATTCTAATATCCCCTTCAAATAAATGAACCTTACCTAGCAGTTCAAACAGATATTTATAAAATATTTTATCATATACATTATCCCTTAATAAAAAAAAAAATAATAATAATCATCCAGGTTGCTATAAATCCAACCCACAATCTCAAGAGAGTAAAATAAAGGCGTGAAGAATAAGAAAAATAAAAAAATAAATAAATAAAAGGCTTTTCCAAACTGGAGAGTTCTTGGTGGTTGAAATTAATTATTATCTGGCACTGTAGTCTAAGAATATATCGTTAGCTTAATATACCAAGTCAGAGTACTTCAAACATATTTTGATCTACTATTTCTTACTTGCATTATTTACATTATTTGAACTGTTGTCTTCATTTTCATTGCTATATTCACAATGTTTCGGCTGTTGTATGCTCCGGCCTTCTTCAAGTGATTGCAGTCCAAATAATGTAAATAATGCAAGTAATCATATTACCTCATCTCAGAGATATAGACAGTATTTCTTAGTTTGTGATTTGACATTGCTTTATTTTCTACTCCGAGGGTTTAGATGCCAACTGACTGTGTCCAGATCCTCTCCTTCACATCATGTTTAGCTTTAGTCATTTTGGGCACAAAATTTCCAGCTGGAGAGGTGGAGGAGAAAAAAAATCTGTTGATTAAACAACACAAAATTTATCCCTTAAATAAAAATAAAAATGTAAATTTTGTTTCAGTAAACATTGATGATCAATTTGTATGTTGAGAAACAAAGTGAAGTAAGGAAAAAAAAGGATTGATTTTTATACATACAATTAACTAACTTGGTCATCAGAGGCGTTTCAGTCATGCATATATTAGTACAGTGTTTTTCAAACTACCTGATGTGACATACTGGCAGTTTTTTGTATTTTTTTTTTCAGTTTGCATGGGACTGGCGAGCAAAGCTTTCCAATCCAGTCCAGAGGTTTCAGTGGGCTCAGTGATTTCCCCAAATAAACTTAGCTATTCCTTTAAACCACAATCAGGCAAATTTTTTTTAAATACCTAATGATATAATGGAATATGCGTACACCTGTGTTCCCCCTCACTGGAATATGATTGGCTGGTGTCAGTCATAAATACCGATGGATGTGTAGGAGAGTCAAGAGAGCATTAGTGTGAGAGTTAAGTCTATAACGATGCCCATTGGACTACGCCATTGATCTACACTTCTTACCTGTGACTGACATGTACTAGTCGATTACTGCTACCATATTCTACTGGGTTATACTAGCCAAAACCACTTAGCTACTTTGTTCAAATATATCCCTTTCCAAGACATATCACCTAATTAGAAATATGTGTCCATAAAATTGGCCTTTTGATATTCCGAGGTGTTGTCCCAATACAGTCACATACCACATCATCATGATGGTGGTGTTCTTTTATGTATATCAGTTCACTGGTTTAACTGTTTATTATACTGTTAGTTTTATAGCAATAACTTTCAGCATGAGTGATTGAAAATACAACTATAATAGCTATTAAATTAAAATGAAAATGTCAAAAAAAGCCAGTCAGATATCCCGACAGTCTCCCATGGTCAGATATCCAGACAGTCTCCCATGGTGTGGAACATGACTACTGTTTCCTGGAAACTCTCCACGTACCTGCAGATGATAGCTCATGTACGGGTACCGGTACATGTACCACACTTTGAGTAGCACTGTATTAGTGGATACAGTGTGCGACTATGTGTTCCTGCAGTTTCTATCTAACATGGAATAATTAGGTCTCATCCATTGTCTAATATGAAGAATTATTTTACATAACACCATTGCAGTTCAATGCCACATATCCAGTCTGTTGGATTCTACCATTAACTACATCCAAACATCCTGCTGCCAATGTTTTCCCCATAACCCCAACAATGTAAATTGCTACAAGATCAAAGCATTAACCTAAAAACTGTTCTTAAATAGCCTCGTCAGATTGAGACTTTCACATGGATGTCATGCATGACACCAAACTCCCGTCCTGGGTATGATGATAAACTACATCTGTCTCCTGGGTAAGACAAATTACGTCCAACAGCAAGGCCTCTGATCAGGACATATTGAGGAGCGTGGAACCACCTCTTAATTGCTGGTGTTCCCAGGTCCACCCTGACCCAGGGTGGTAGCACCTGTTAGGGTCCCAGCTATGGGTAAATAGTTAACCTCCAAACTGGGGCCAAAACACTATGAAAGTGTAAAAAAAAAAAAAAAAAAAAAAAAAAAAAAAAAACCATTAACAGCTATACATATTTTGAAAAAAAAATTACCATCAATGGAAAATTATTACCAGAAATAGATTTTTGGAAAAAAAATATTACCAACAATGAAAATTTTGTCGGCATTAAATAACCCATTGAAGTAGATATGCTGTAAAACAAACTAAACCAAACTCATTCAGAAATATCTAAACTGTATATACAACTGTTTTCTAAGATCAATTATGAAAATGGCTTTGAAAAAGTGAAGACCAGTTTTGGTGAAAACCATGCTTCTTCAAACATTGTTGACAGACACTAAAAAAAAAATCACAAAGAACTGTACCAAATAACAGAAACCACATTACTTGAGAACTACCAAGAGCGGCAACAACTAAAATGGATAGCACATGTAACTCTAAGAGAAAATAAGGATATAATCAAGATGTTAATGTTCGACACTACTTCAAATAAAAAGGTGAAGAAAGGAGCCCTCCATCAATATGAGAAAGAATGATAACAGCTACAGCACTTGAAAAACCTATTTTCCTAAAAAATTGTTTTAAAAGAAAGCTTTTAATAAATTCCAATCAAAAGCAGTACTGGCTGCTTTGTCAATGAATGTTGAATGTTTCCTTATAAGGAAACAGCTAATATTACCATAGTCAGCGATCAATCTCAATGAGAACAAAGGATTGAACAGAAATAAAAGAGAATTTCATTAAGACTAACTCATGTCCTTCTTGTAACAGAAGCCTGGTTGAATGTATCAGCTGCTCTGACTGATCTACAAGAGAAAAACTCCTTAGAGAAGATCAAATCTAAACTTCTCTCACATTCCACAACATTTTCTGATACTATGTGTTTTTTGGTTTTATACTAACTGTATTAGAAGTAAGATTACGATCTTCATTTTTATTATATCAAACATTATAAACCATTATTATTAACTTGGACTAGGAGTTGTATTCTCCTGGTGTAAATTTAAACTGACAACTTCCTATGTATCTAAACTAATTATAAAGTAATTTTGGAAACTGAAAATTTTGATGAAGTATATTGGAAAATTTCCAAATTTTCATCTGAAATCAAAATACAAACTTTAAATAAAATAGCCCCACTACATAGAAAAAAGGGAGTATCAGTTTAACACTAGGAGGATATAGGTTAATATTTTTTTCAATTTCTTTCTATTGAAGCTTTATTCAAAGCATCAATCTACAGAAGGGACGGTGATGGTAAAAAGATAAGCTCTCGAATGAGACTGGAATACGCATCCATTTTGCTTCAGAGAAGGCAGAGAGGAAGGGAAGAAGAACCAATAAAAAAAATCCACACCATGTGATTTTATTTTGGCAGCAA